ATCTGTAGCTTAGATAGTTGAATATATGTTTATGTATATGATTTGATCTAATAAAGATACTGGCGAGGCTGCCAATAGTTAAAAAAAAAAAAAAAAAAAAAAAAAATACAAAAGATGATACTTTATTATGAACATTAAAGATTTATTTGATTAGAAGCATAAAATAACAAATTTATATGATGTATCAGCAAGAAGACTTTGAGAAAATATTAAGGCATTCAAGTAATAGAAATGTTTCAGCTGAAATTTTCTCAGATATATGGTTCCAGCAATCTATAATCGCCAATCATGTGATAAACAAATCAGAAAATTTCAAAATATTAAAACTTATTTCAGACAAGTTACTTCTAAAAAACAAAATGATAACATTGTAGAGCTTATTAAAAGAACAAAGTTATTGATCAGTTTTTTTGAAATAGCATCTCTGTCAAAATTTTAGCATTTTGAAGTTTATATGTTTTGCGAAATTGAAACAATCATGTGAGGATTTGCAGAATTTGATTGGCTTATATCATTTATATTCGATCGAAGAAAAAAGCATATTACTCATTCAATTTTGCATATATTTTCTTCTCAATTGATTAAATAAAGTTCTGTTGGACTCAAAAACCTAGAAATAATTTGCTATGTTGAAAATCTTTAATAAATATCATGAATAATTAAACTTTTGCTAGGACTTAAAGGTCAAAATTACACTATTCGTTCAATCCACTTGAAATATTGGAATTTTGAGGTTTAAGGCGATTAAATAAATATGAATTTTAATTTACTAATTTTAAAATGATTAAATAATTCAATAATTTAAATATAAATTTTATAATTGGCATGTGTTCAACCATTTAAATATAAACTTTGTAATTGGCATACGTTCAACTATTTTAATAATTTAACACTAAAGCAAATTAATAGTAACAAATGTTATACTTGATTAAATAAAGAAATTTACATTAAATAAGCACTTAATATTTTTAATATATAGACATAGTTCAATTTTGATAATGCTATTTTTATTTAATATTTTTATGTCTGCGCAAAAGTAGTATGAAGATAAAATAATGTGATATGCTATCATAATTTTAAAAAGCCTATCATATATATTGTAATCTTTAAAGACAAATTCGTCACCAATCCAATCTTACAGCAAATTATTTTTATAATTGATGTTCTCGACTTAATTACATAGGTATAATAAATTATATCCCTATTTTACTCAGATATAAGTTCGTGTTTAATTCAAATGAAAACAATTAAACATTGAATTACACATACAATTGGGCATTAAATTTCGCTCCGTAGTCTTTTATCATGTTACAGAAGGTTTCTTAAAACCTGTAAAGTCAATTAACAAAAGGCTCATACCTTATTTCTATTATGGTTAGTTTTATCATTATCTGCACATTCTTTAATTTATCACGAAACTCTTATACTATACGTAGCAGCTGTGAATTACCTTATATCAATTACATTAGAAAAACATTTTGTACATGACCCTTCAATTAAAATTATGAACATACATACAATTATAAACTGATTAAAATTATGATATTAATCAGTTTATAATTGCATATTCATAATTGTTCATAATGCACAAAATGTTCAAGTATGCATTCACAGCACCATTTCAATGTAAATTGTAGATATGTTTGTAGAATAGCTGTTAACAAAAAAAAACTTTGTTTGCTTAATCTTTTTTTATCATAATTGTGACCCCTTCGTAATCAATGTCTTGATGTTTGATATAAAAAGAGGCATTAATAATTTTCGTATTAAAAGAGTTTGTTATTTAAAATTTGTGCATTAATAATATCATTTTAAATATAAAAATTTTAAACCTTTAAACAAACCTAACCTTGAATTAACTCTAATATCAAATGCCACGTCCTAATAAAAGAAAATAACATACATCCAAATTATCTAGAAAACGAGGTCGCTTTGTATCACAAAAAGAGATAATACTAGACGTGGATATGATACAAGAGTTACCACAAGACGGGATTGAAGAAGAAGAAATGCCACAAGTAGAACCTATAGAAGAAGTTATTATAATACAAGAAAAGGCTGCTAAAGTAAAAAAAGCACCATATACTGGAATGTCGAGAACAACAGCCTGGAGGAAGAAACAAAAAGTTAATACGTCGTTAAATATTGAAGCATCACCTGATTTGTCGCATCTGTTTCTGGCTGCTAATATTGTAAAACAATTACAATCACCACAACCACCTTTTGCAGTATTATTAGCAAATGCCTTGTTATTAGTAAATTTAACATGATCATCTACATTAAATCCTTCTATAATGCCAACTTCCTCTCAAATAACTACTTATAACCCACGATCACTCATTGAAACTAAAGAAAAACTTGAAATGCGATTAAGAGAAATTAATATACAATATAAAATTACAAAATCTTCAAACGTATCTATATATAACCATTTGCACCTCCTAAGTATAAGTAGGTATATAAAGTTATTGCTAGATAGATGGACAAGATGGACGCAAGCATCCATCTTGCACAAACTATATGGGGTAATGGTAATTCTACAGCAAAACGTCTTAGGAAATGGGAAAATCATTATATAGAAACAGGAGAACCTTTTTTTGACCGCCAATAAAAGCATGCTAAGTTGAAAAGCTTGATCAAAAATAAAGATTTTTCGAATAGTTGTCAAGCTTGGTTGCATCAACAGAAGCCTGAGTTGTGTTCTCTTGGTGCCTTAAAAACATATATCGAAGGTACGGTATTTCCTCAAATATTAGGACAAATTAAGAAAAACACTATTTCTGAAAGCACATGTCGAACCTATATGCATTTATAAGGATTTAGATATGATGAAAACAAAAAGGGTGTTTATTATGACAGGCATGAAAGGCCAAATGTGGTAGCTTATAGAGAGGAATGGCTTAAACGAATGTTTATCTATAAAAAATTTATGAAAGATTTTGATGGTGAAATGTTAGAAATCGTGATAGAACCTCACCTTGAACCTGGTCAAAAAGAGTTAGTACAGGTAATAATTTTTTTTTAAACCATCATGGTTGTGTTACTATCAGGGTTGTAAAATTACCGTAATTTATAAATTATCATTGTAAGTTACCAAACCCACTGGGAATTTATCTATATTACCATACCTCCCAAAACTTTGTCAACTATATTTGTATTTGTGTTCATGTACTATCTACTATCCTAAATTGTTTCGACATTACTTTATCCTTTTTTTTGATTTAATGCCAGCCAAATTTGTTTAACTCTAATGTAATTCGGTAATTACCTAAAGGCTTAGGTAACTTACGTTGATTTTCTGGCAACCTACCATTTACAACCCTGATTCTATAAGGATAACCCATGTCATATAACTTATGTATTATTATACAAATATATAATAACTATAATTATGCAATTCATTACCAAGATAATACATGATGAATGCCATTTTTACGCGAATGACGGCCAACGAAGAATATGAATCGAAAAAAACGAAGATATTTTACTTCCAAAAGGTGAAGGATGCTTTATTATAGTTTCAGCCTTCCTCTGTCCATGCCATGAATTACTAAGACTGTCTGATGAACAAATGAAAGCAAATCCACATATAAAGTATAAGGAGGCATTTATCCTTCGTTCTATACAGTCGGACGGATACTGGAAATCAGAGCATATGTTGGAACAACTTGTACAACAAGCAATTCCAATATTTGAGGTGCTTCACCCTGGTCGTGTTGAAGTTTTCTGTTTTACCAATCAACAAATCACAACACAATAGCAGAAAATGTATTGGTCGCAACAAAAATGAATCTGGGTCCTGAGGGGTACAATCTAAATTACGTGATGGTTGGTATATCAATGAAAATAGAGAGAAAATCACACAACTGATAATATTTTCAAATGATTATAAAGTAGAAATGTTGCAGGGAGTGCCAAAAGAAATAAAGCAAGTACTTACAGAGCATAAATTGTGGCCATCAGAAGGTGTTCGATTGGTGTATGAAAAATGTTCAAGAAAACATAAAGAAAATAATCCAGAAAGGTTGGGTTGTTGTGCATGAAGAATAATATCACAGCAACCTGATTCTGCGAGCAGAAATCAATTCTAGAAGAAGCGGTTCTTGAAAAAGGACATATTTTTGAACGGTATCCTAAATTTTATTGTGAGTGTAATTTCATAGAGAGGTATTGGGGGTATATAAAAGTGAGACAAGAAGATTATGCAAGTATAATTACGCCGACATAATACAACAAGTTCTTAAGGCTCTTGTTAGTGTTCCTGTGTCAAAAATTCAAAAATTCGCACGTAAATCCTGGAGATACATAGATGCCTACAATAGAGGTTTAGAAGGAAGGATTGCAAAATGGGCTATTAATAAATATAAAACTTATCATCATCTTTCTGAAAATATCAAAAAACAAATAAAGTTTGAATAAAATAATTTATAAGGATAATATTTTAATCTCCTAGGGCTCTACTTTTTTATCTCTTCCGCTTAATTTGTATTCTTTGTAATTTGATCTAAAAAATAGAAGTTTATCGTTAAAAATACTCAAAAAGAAGATTTAAAAATGTAACGTTGTACATTTCATTGCACTATCTATGATTTTATACCAATTTTGTAATACGATTTTATTGGTAAATCACGATTACGAAAAAATTAAAACATTCTATGTGATTGGCAATTATAGATTGCCAGAACCATATATGAAGAAAATATCTGAAAAAACTTAGCTATAAATTCAGATAATTTGAGTCTATTTTTTATAAAAGACAGATTGGATACACATATCAGTCTTGCTATTAATATCAATTGGTTTCAAACATTTGATTATACAGTTCATAGTACTAGAGTAATTTATAGAGTTTTATATAATTTACCATATAAAGTATGATTTAAGCTGAATAATATTTTAACTTTGGATATCATTCTAGAACCAAATGAACCTAGTAAGCATTAAATAACCAATTATCTAGCACCAATTATTA